GAGTAAACCATTTGTTAACAAAATAAGAAAACTATTGTTTTTACTGAAAGAAACCTTGTCAATATTTAGCTCATCTTTCCACCTTGACGATGTGGCGATGGTTTCGGCGAGTAATTTTTATCGCCAAACTTGGAGAGAAATCTCTAAAAGTCACCAGAGTTGGCCAGCATTTGGTGACATTTTCGTCCCATCCCTCTATAGCTGTAATTGTACTGTAATTTACCCCTCTATGTAACTCGGTTTCTTATTTGTAACTTTAACCATATATATCTTTAAGTAATTTCGAGAACTGTAAGGTACTAGAGTTTCTAGGTTGTCGAGGGAAAACTATATAAGACCGAAGAGATCATTAGTATTCAGTTTTTAGTTCATAGTTAACTTCAGACAACTGAGACATCGTGTGAGTCTCGCTCTTTGGATGTGCTTTGCATTCCGTTGCGTTTAACGTTATTACTTGTTTGAAGTGGTGACAGCTGATTATGCTGTGTTATAGTAAAAGGAGCTGTTCAAGTACTTTTCTGAAAAGTTTCAGAACAGTAAAATGTTCTTTTGGAAAAGTAAATTCTATCACGCTATCATCGGTTCTGTCTGCTTCTAATGCATTATGAACCCCGTGCGAAAGCAAAAATAATTTCCTTTTTTAAAAATTTTATCCAGCAAGTTTATCCATTTACCTGATTAAATTTAGTAATGTAGGCTTCAAGATTTATGATTTGAAATCAGCTTTTCTTTCACTATGTTAGAAAATATCATTAAATAATGGTTAAGAAATAATTTTTTTCTTTTTAAATGTTTAGCATCTTCGTTTGGAACTCTTGTAACAGCTTCTAATATCAAATGAATTCCCTAGGGAACTGTTGATTGGAAAGGCCATCACGTACATGCGTCTCTTATTTGACAGTCGTCTCCTCTTGAACCCGTCGAGGCCTTAGTGCAATCGATTCTAGGAATCCCCTTACATGTCTTTTGACCATCTCATGCATCTTAATCTTGTAACCAACTGTCACGAACAAACAAAATCTTAAACAGACTTCTAAACCTTGTCGTTGATTTTATTATTTCTGGAGACAGTGGTTTTATGAAGCGGCAAATGTTTAGTGATTTTGAGTTTATAAAATGGTTTGTGTATTCATTTTATGTTAACAAGAGCCTGATTATATCAACCAGTGATTTTATATGTGTAGGAAATGTTAGGGCAAACTCTGAAAATACCTCGTATAATTTAAAGAATGTGCTAAATATTACTTTAAATTCAAGAATATTTTTTAATTCAAAATTTAAAATATCAGATGCGGTAATGTCTAGAGATAAACACTCGTGAAAGTCATTATGATGGCTGATATTAAAGTTATTAACGGTATTTTGTAACCCATTTTCTCATCACCCAAGCAAGTATTCTTGGTATTAATTTAGAAGTCATATAACAAAATATCAGCATTATGTTTTTAAATTTTCACAGGACTAGTTTTCGATGGTTTTCCCAATCATCATCCTCAGCTGCAAAACCACAAATGAACGAGGTAAGATATAGTGATTAGATAAGATAAGAAAGTTTGGACAGAAGTTAAGCTACTGGCGCCATCTGTTGATGAAACGAGAACTAAAACATAATTTCCCTAAAGGCTGAAGGCAAAAATAGATTGGAATTAGGGTCGTTAACTAGAACAGAATGAATTTTTTGAATGTGAAATGCCTCTAGAAGATCTAATTCACCTATGGAAGATGCTTTTTGAATAATTTCGGCTAGAGAAAAATTGAAAGTGTAATTTTCGGACCAACAATGCTGGGTAACAGTCTGACCAACAATGCTGGGCAACATTGCTGGGCATATTCTTCGTGTTAATGGTTAAAATATTAGCAAACTGGAAGATATAATGATTTGATTTTCTCCAGGGGTACAAATGAGTTTTCCTGTTTCCTGGTCCCAAATTTAAATAGTCTTTGAAATACCCTACTGAAAAGCGATGAATGATGCTTCGTCGCCATGTGGGTTTGGTTCATTTAGTTTCATGCTCCTACATTGTCATTCATTAAATGTATCAAAAATCTATTATTAAAATTATCAAATTTTCTAGTGTATGTTCTCTTGATGGAAGCAGTTATCATATCCCTGTAGCATCTAAAAGATAGGTAATTCGATTTCCTGCGGGGTTACAGTGGAATTATCAAGTTTTCTGGCTCCAAGTTATCTCTATCAAGTTGACGGTCTCTATTTGTGCTGTAAATGTTTAGCACGTCCACCTGGCAGTTCAAAGACTTGTGGTTCGAATCTCGTACAACGGAGTAGTTGATTTTTCATGTTTCTCGACTTCAAAAACCTATGTTCATACACACTTTCCTGAAACAGAAACTGATAATTTTATAATTTCATATGACGAAGCTGATAATATTTCATTTCCTTTACTACAGATATTTCTAGAAAATAATAAACCCCAGAACACATTGATGTATTTATTTCAGATAGCTTAAATGTAAGTAACAACACTAATGATAAATTTGTCTTTACCATTAACAAGAATATGAAATCACGCATTATAGATAGCTTTTCAGTCGCATTTCAGATAGCTTAAATGTAAGTAACAGCACTAATGATAAATTTGTCTTTACCATTAACAAGAATATGAAATCACGCATTAAGTATATTCAGTTTATTCAGACGTATATTGCCAGATAATGAGAAAAGCCTAAAGGGAGAAAAAGTACACGATGTCGTTTGTGCAGAAACTGGAAAATGCCAATCGTGTCTATGGAAGAGTCGTAAACAGATCAAAGAGCAGAGAGCCATGGTACTTGAAGAGCCAATTTTTCCTTTTCTCATTTGTCTGCCACTCTCGGTTAATGGTCAGTCGTTTTCTGACCTTTGTATTTCTTTTGCACTTCTTAAGGTGTTATTTCTGTGCTGTTTTTTGTTAGGCTACATATACTAGAATAACCGACAATGGTTTCCGAAAATAGGTTCAGTACGTGTTCGACAGCATTCTTTGACAAATATGTTGAAAACTTATAACGTTGCGCGCCTCTAACTAGCACGCAACCAAGAGGTGACTGTGAAAGCTTGTATAAACCACAGAGTCTTATAAAGGGTTTAAGTCCCTTTTTATTCAACGTACTAATTTACAATTGCGTTCTCTTGACGCTTACAAACGGTGCCAACTCGGCAGTCAAAATAAAAATAAAAACCTGAAAAGAAATTAAAGACAATATTCTAACTACGAGGCTCTCTCAAATAACTAAACTCACCGCGTTTTACAATACGGCTGCTAATTCAGCAGACTTGAAGCTCACTGGAACAATTGCAACTACTTCCCGCCAAGCACATAGGCCGCAACGCGGGGTTTTTCAAATCTCTATAACTACCTCCGCGCTCGCTAAGTAAGAATAACTCTCTCTCACCGAACTTGTTTCCTTCTATTTAAATCATACTACTTCCGCTGATAATTTGAATCCTTGCGCGTTCTACTCAAATTTACATATTCTGGCATTGGCAGTTCCAGGGGAAAGTAAGGATTGACAGGAAAGATAGTTTAAACTTAAAATAAATGTTAGTTAAAATAAATATAAACCCTACAAACTGATAACAAACTCTTTCCTTTGAATTAAAGAATTAGATTATAACATGGTAATTAATTTGTAATAGTAAGGCATAATCACAGATTTGTATTTCGAAGTTGGGCAAAGTTATAAAAACTTTGAATAATGAAATAATTTTCTTAATTTAGAAAAACTGTAAAACTATTTGGCTTGTTTACAAAAAAAAGCGCATACTATATAACAAATGTCATACCTTATATCTTTTTATTGAACGTCAACATTTGCTTAACCTAAGATTTCCGAAGCATTTCAAAGGGAAACTTATCTCTCAACAGAAAGAATATTTTTAAGACTAAAAGATAGGAAAAATATGCATAGCATTTTAATCATGTATGTATAAAGAGAAAGATAAAAAGAAAAAGAAAAATAGGCTAAAAATTAGAACTAAAAAACTTTCTAAAACCGTTCTGCGCTAGAGCAGCAGAATTGAAGTAGAATAAACATAAAGCATGTAAATTATTATTAAATTCTAATTAAAGCAAGAGAGTTCCTCTATAACAGGGTTTCTTAAACTGTGGGTCGCAATCTCCAAGGGGGTCGCGGGACCTGTAACGGGGTGTCGCCAAAACTTTAAGCAGTTTTGATATTTCTTTAACTTATTGCAATAATTTTACAATTTCCAAATATTTTTACACGATGTATCTGAAAATATATAAGACAATACAGACAAAGAAAAAAACGAAAATGTTTCGACACATTCTTTTTATAATATAAACTTTCATTTTTCTTGGTTTGCACGTGACACTAACATTTTGTTAATTATTTAAAATTTTCACATTGTTCTATGTCTTAAAATTAGAAATTAAAGTTAATAAGCTAAAACTGCAATAGTATTTTACAGTAAAAGTGAACACATTGACGGTTTCACTCACGCGTATGTCGGATTTGCGTAATACTTATGGGGTCCCACAAACTTTTTGTAAAAATTATGGGGTCCTGCGGGTCGGGAAAAACTCTCAGTGGTACAAAGGGGTCGAGATTGAAAAAGGTTTAAGAAACCCTGCTTTATAATATAAAAATTTCAACTGTTTATAAGAGGTTTAACACAATATCATAACAAATCCAGTTAAAGAAAGAATTCACAGTAGAACAAACTCGAGAAATAAAAGTACAAAAGGGAAAATGTACAAAATTATACAAATAAAAATTAATCTCCTTTCATTATAACTCCAATACAGAACTCTAGCGGAATTACCCAATATTAATTAAGTTAGATTGAGTGTAATGTATCACGAATCATCTAATATTAAATGCACGAGCTTTAGGAGCCTTACACCTCGGTCGCACGCATAAAGAATGCGATAATTGCCTACTTATTTAAATTCCCAACTACAAAATATTGCATTGTGATTTTGTTATATATCTGTAACTGAAAAACAACTTATAAATATATATTTCTCTATTTCCAGACAAAGCGAGATGCTTGGGATAAGATGATGACTTTAGGCACCACGCAAGATGAATTGAGGCTAACCTACACAGAGGCACAACAAAAGGCACTACGATCAACAGATAAACCTTCAGTGCAAGTATGCTGTGAAACCTTTTATCTAAATGCTTCAATTTAAAAGCTTTTATCAACTTTTAGGCAGCAGTATGTATAACACTCCCTAAGATGTACATTGCATTGCTGTATAAAACAGCCTACAAGCATTATGGCATGACCAGCCTTTATATGGGTATGAACAGGTCTGTTTTGATTATATACAAAGCCTTCTCAAAGCAATCTAAGAGACAGTCACGACATTGCCATTACTCCTTAGTCATTATTCCTAAGCACACATTCCTTTATCAAACGTTTGTACACACTGGGAATAAATATTTACTGCAGGTCGTATATCGTAAATATAAAGCAATGGCTTGCTTTATATTTACGATATACGCCCTGCAGTCTCATTACAAGAGAAAAATAAGTTTTTCTGATAACAGTGGAATCTGCTTTATTATTTAGATTAAAAACGAATGGGTAACGTTTATGAATTAACATATTTGCGTCAGCTATCATATTTGACATTGATCTGCGTCTTTTACGGGAAATCTTTCAGAAATCTTGCCCAGTATTTAAATGCATTTGAGCATAAATACTTATTTGATTCTGTACAGAATGCCTTGAAAGTTGTAAGGTACACCTTGCGAAAAAAAAAAAAAAAAAAAAAAAATGAGACAGTTCTACGTCTCCCTACTGAGCCGACTGACGAAATTTTACTTGCATTTTTCATGTCTCGAAAGCGCGACTTAGAATGTATATTAGATTTATATATAACATTTTCTAACATAGGTATTTTGACGCAAAACCAGACTTTTTTTTTAAATAACATATTCATGTTTTTATATTTCGAATCTATGACTCAAATTACGCTAAAGTGCCAGGTTTTGTAAAAATAGCTCAAGTAGTTTTTAAAAAGTCAGCTCTCAATGTCAATGGAATATGGTATGTATTAATCAATATCTCTTTTTTTTTACTAAACATACTGGATTTCTTCTTTCACAATTCGAAATTCAGGTTCAATCAAAATAAAATTCGCAGCTATTTTCTGATTTGTTTTTTTTTTAATTTGTAATTTTTTACTAATTTTTATAAATTTTTCGAAAACATTTCGAAGTACAATTTATAAATTTTTTCCCATCGCCTTAAACTGGATATTTTCTAGGCATACCTGCAAAAAATTAGAATTTGTTATTCAAAACTTCCTACTGCTGTACGTGAATTTATATATTGGCACGTTTTGAAATTTGGCATGTTTATCATAAGGAATAAAAATGCCAAATATGGTTTATACATTTTTTAAAAATTATTTGAAATAATAAAAGATGCACCTTTTATTCCGCTGGTACACAAAGAAAGGGAAAGGAAAATAAGTTGCCATAAGTTAAGAATTTCGCGAAGAGAATTATTCTTAGAACAAACTGAAAAAAGTGCACCAAGAGAAACTTTAAAATTTCTCTGTTATTTTCTCATCATATTTTATAAAATGTAATATTTAGGCATACTTAGATAGTTAGAAACGAAATATGAAAAAAAAATAGTTATCCCATTTCAGAAAAAAGGTCCGAATTTTTGTCCAAATACTTATGTTAAAACAGTGCTTTATATAAATCTTACATATATATTCTAAGTCGCGCTTTCAAAACATGGAAAACCCAAGTTAAATATTTTAAATCGGCCCAGTAGAACGGGAGACATAAAACTGTCCCCCCTTTTTTTTGTCCAAAGTGTACATAAGCGTACAATTATTCCTAACCAATAAATCTCCTCAAAGATAGATAAAAAGTAATCGGAAACAATTTTCATTTACATCCTCAGGTAAATTTAGTATAATGAATATATCAGTAAGCATATGCACGCATTTATGTCACTCCTGAATGAAGAACGTTTCAATTATCAACAAATACTAACACATCCGATAGTTTTAGTTCCTGTGTACGTTCAGATTATCTGTGCACGTCATATTGGATCGTTAACTTCCATTTTATACTTTCATAAGGAGTGATTCACTAAACTTAGTCCCTAGTGAGACTGTCAGCGAGAGTTACATGAGTTATTGCTCAGTCTATTAAAATAGCATAAATTTAGAAAAGATTTAAACAACAGCTTTGTTAAACGCTTTAAACTTAACAAGTACATACCTTGAGCACACAGAATAATCTCCTCTGCCTAGAGTACTTAAACTAACATAAGCTATAAATTAAAACTCAAAGTAATTTAAGGGGACGGTGGACTTTAAAAATTAGTTTAAGTTTTTGTGTTTTCAACAAGAAATTTTACATATATACATATTATAACATCAGTTTATAAAATATATGTTCAAAATTTCAATTTATTTTAAATTAAAAATTTTTAAAACAAATAATTAATTATTTTAATTAAAGATTTAAAAAGCTCCTTGCGCGCTAATTTTCAATATTTTTTCCTAATTTTTTCCTTTTAGTTAGTTATAAAGACTTGACAAAAGTTTTTGTGTATCCATTATTGAATAGGATGGATCAGAAATTTTCAAAAACGATTTTTGTAGACTTGAACCCAATTTACAGAAAAAAGTCACCTTTTGTTAAACATTATCACACGTTTAAACTTCTTAATAACCTCATATCCAAAAATGCATACACAAATCTACTGTAACATATAGCAATATAGTTTCTTTCAAATATCATTCATTTTTAACTAAAAATGAGACGCATGGAGCATTTTCAAGACATACGAACTGCGAAAAAATTTGTTTTGAGAAAATCGAATTCAAAGTTTTTCTTCAAACTTCCCTTTAATACATGGTCATGAGAAACAGCAAATTAAATATTAATATGTAGACAATAGATAACATTGTTGTATCATTTAACTATTTTTAATCGCATAATATTAAATTTGAGAAAAATAAACATATCGAAAATCGCTATGTGATTCGAAGTTAGAGGTAGAAACAATTTATGAATTATATCCAATGAAACTTAAAAATTCACCCGCATCATATGTTTTACCTTCATTTGTTACATTTACATTAATTTTTAAGGCTTTACAATATTTTTTACTATTTCTGTTTTTTTTTTTTTCAAGCAGGTAAACTTCTCGTTTTGCTCTAGTTCAAGCGACGATGATTACTCTTTTTTGCAGCATGTAGGGAAATCCATTTGGCTTCCTCCTGTTCTACGCCTATACCATTTACATAATCAAAGTTAAATTCATTAATGGTTCTCAATACTGAAACTTCTAGCCTTTTTTTAAAGAAATAAACACTTCTTTTGGTCAAATATATATAAATTATAACATCAGTAAATAACTGTTGAAATACATTTTTTTACTTTTTCTCCAAATTTTAAAGGGCAAAGTTTGCGCTGTTTGCACATTTTAAATGCTTGTAACTTCTTTAAAAATTATAATATTTGAAATCGGTTTTTTGCATATGATGTAGTTACATATGTGGAAGATTAGGAGACTAAAACAGCAAATTCAATATTTTGGTTGATTTTTAGCTATTTTAAAGTCCACCGTCCCCTTAACACTGGAAATTAACAACATAAAAATCTACCAATCGTTCTCTCACATATTCTAACTGCTCGAGAAAACTCGCATAGAAAAATTCCAACGTCGGTCAAAGTAAATTCTCAGAGCTAGGAAAGTAAATATCATAATGGTCAGCATCGCTGCCAAACTGTCTCCCTAACATTAAAGATCTCTATTCTTGTAAACATATAGCTAATATGAAACCTGGCAACCCTGCAAAAGCTGATAAGAATAGAAGTATTAATATAGATAAAATAAGAATGTAGTGGGTTTCTCAACATGGGCCTAATATTGATGGAAGAGAAGTATGTGCTCAGGCGATAATAACGACAGGAAGGACGTTAAGCGGACGCTATCTGACGATGTCGTGTCTATGACAAAATACAATTATATAGCTTCGAAGCTGTCAAAGACAGCTTTTGCAACCTCGGCAGCTCTATCAGTATAAAGTAGGTCCACTGGGTCTTCAATGCCGATGTTAAACAGTCTGGCCTGGATTGCTGGGCAGCTGAAAATGGGATGGCGAGACTCATTGAAAAAGAAGCTGCCAGAGCCTCAAAGAGGTTGGACTTCTGCCTGTTGGTCCGCGGGAAGTATTTTATTTCCCTCCTACCAATTGTATTTTCCTCCTACGCTATCTATTTATGAAACAAAAAACAACTGCAAAATAAATTTTTTTATAGCTGAGGGTAACGATTGACTGTAATCAGGATGTTTAGCTGCACGTCCTAGCGCTGCGTGGTTCTAGTAACCCGGGGGTCTCCCCCGGGGTCGCTGGGTAATGTCCCGCTGCGACGGGCTCGCCCAAGCGACTGGTAGGAGCATTAGACGACCGGTGCTGCCTGGTGTCGTATCCAGGTGGTGCGCTGCTCTCCTGGAGGGTAATAGTGGAAGTTGAACTTCCACGATGTGCCGAAAGGGGGAGCGGACCTGCAGTGATATTGAGTTCTCGGAGCAGGGAAGCCAAAACTCTTATCTCTTATCTTATCTAGGGCTGAGAAATTTTTATGAACTTGAAATCTCACTAGAAAATCTAATTTGACAAAGAAAAATATGTTTTGAATAACTTTGGCTGCAGAAAGATGGAAAATGTGATTTTTGACCAACAGTATTCGGCAGCAGCGAATTTATGTGTTTCTGTTTTCTTAACATATGCGTCATGTTCTTTAGGGAAAAATTTTAATTGTCTCATAGTTTCGCCAATGCAAATTCAACTACATTGGCAAACAATAATATGTACATATATCACAAGAACTTATATCCAGCATGGAATGTTTAAGTATGGGAATGCGAATTTTATTGGTAGAATCATTTCTGTAAAATGCGTGCAGTTTTATAGATAATCGATGAATGAAAGCTTCTGTCAATAGCAACTGCTTTTAAGTGGTTACATTCTTGATCAAGAGCTGACTTGGATTAGCAAATACGAAACGCTCGAAAAAGAAGGAATAAAATGAAACTAACTTCTGTTTAATCGAATGACATGATTTGAAGTGTTCTAGAAGGCAAACACATAACGTTTTATAGTATACA